ATACTTGCTTACAAAAAATTTGGTCCTTAAGTTATATAACTTTCATAAAATGTATGATCTTTAAAAGAAAAAATTTAAGGACCAATTTTTCTGTAAGCAAGTATATATATTTTTTAACACTTTGACTGCAAATTTTAAATAAACTAATATTATAATTTTTTATATAATAGTCTATTTGATCACAAAAACTAAATATAATGACAGATATATAACATATTAATTACACAATAATATATTACCCCACTCTACACTCTTAGTAACTTTACCTAATTGCTAAAATAAATAATAATTTTTATATTCATAATAATACAAATACCTACCCAAGTTATTTTTCCTAAAGAGACCGAACATAAAATCGATTTGTCATAAATAGTTAGTATTGTTGTCGTGTACATATAATCGATTTGTCATAAGTAGTTACTATTGTTGTCGTTCATCTTCTTTGTTAATATTCACCACTAAAATTATGATAAATAATGTATGAGTTACACAAGAATATCATACCTCAGTCTACACTCTTAGTAACTTAACCTCATTTGTTATAAATAAATAATAACTTATTTTTTCATAACAATACAAATACCTACCCTTAGTTATTATTTCCTAGAGAGACCAAACATACAATCAATTTCTCATGTAATCTTCTTCTGTTTATTTGGCTTATGATCTCTTTTTTTAGTTTTTACATAACTATAGTTTAAATGCTTTTATAATCTAAATTGAAAAATCTTTTCTAAATAAAGTTTAAAACAATATATCATATGTTTCAAATGAAATATTTTAATTTGATATTTTGAAAAGTTTAACTTGATCATTTTTAAAATTTAAGTTACTTTTAGGTTATGATAAAATATAAGGTGAGTAACAAATGCTCATAATTTTTTGTATGTGCTAATTTTGTATATTGTGTATGTGCTAAATTTGTATTACTTTGTTTAGATCTCATTCAGTTTTATATTTTCCAAATATACTTTCGTTTATTTTTAATGTTTACAATGTACACAAAATATGTTTTATACTAATTTTGCGATCGCGTTCAATTTTGTTTGTGCGTTAATTATTTTGTAATACACATAATGAATATAAACATATTATTTTGTTTTAAAATTATTTTTAAAATATATATTAACACTTATACACATATATAACTAAATATAATTTTTAAATTAATATTTCATGTATAACCCACGCATCGCGTGGGCAACTTTCTAGTATAAAATACTATTAACTTTAGAGCTGATTATCCATCAGCCAGTAATTAAGTTGTCTTTTTTCTAGAGAAATATCAAATTAAGAGTCCGTAAATTATGGTTGAATGAATCATAATGTATTATATGACATCCGTTTATAAAGCTGTTGAAAATACAGGCCAGTTAAAACAATGGTAATTTAATCCGTTTTTCAAACTTCAAAATGTTTGAAACTTATATGCCTTCTGACCAAAAGGAAGAAAAAGAAAACAAAAAAAAACTAATCACTAATTAAGACTTATTTACATCAATCAAAAGATTCTAATAAGTATGATGATCAGGATATGTTACTCGTATACGAAACCCCCTCAAACAATATGGTGGCTAAATCGCAATTTAACAAATCGATCTAACAAATATTCTAGGATTTATAGATAATCCTATTGTATTTTTTTAAACGAGGAGACAGATTAATATCAGCCCGTGACATACATGTTTTATAATTTAAAACGGCCTCACAGAAAAGTATTATGATAAGAGAGACTAGTGCTTTTACATGCGTAGTTTATTGGTATAGCTAGCTGATGGTTTTGCCGATATAAAACTTAAAACAATTATATATGTTCTGAGGTCAGAGGGCTTTGCAAAGATATATATTAAAACTTAAATAAATTAATACGTAGACGTAACATATACGTTTATACCACCAAGAAAGAATGGACCGAGTATGGTGTAGTATTACGACAAATTACGCCGTAGCAATTCCAACCACCGAACACTTTCTCTTCATAAGTCACTTTCGTTTTCGAGACACGTCCAGTTTCAGTGTTCATTTCTTTCTAATATTCTCTAACTTATTTTTTCTTTTTCTTTTTCTGTTTAAGTGTAAATAACCTATAGCAAAATTTGTTATAGTCTTTGGTCGTTGTCTTTTACACTCGTGTTATAAATACAATGTATGGTTATAAGGAAATCAACGTTTTCATCTCCACACCGTGCACTGTATGATTCGAACATTAAAAATTTGAAATCGGACTCTAATATATATATAGAGTTTCATTTTTTTCTTTTTTTGAAGTTTCCTCATATCTTTTTTTTTTTTCCGTCAATTTTAGAAGTAGAAAGAATTTAAAACAGAAGTTGACGGGAACGTCACATGACCAAGGTCGGAACAGAAGATAGCTTTAGTTCTGTAGACACAATTAATATGTTTCTTCTACTTACACCTTTTGTCTCTTTCCCTCTTTTATTTTTCTTTTCACTTCCCTCTAGGTTTTGTCTCCCTTCGTCTTTTTTCTTTCTTTTAATTACTACAATTCAAATTTAAAATTTCTTGATTATTACTTTAATTGTAGGAACATATATGTATAGTCAAATTTCTTTGATTTGATCTCTTTGTCTCGACCAAAATCTTTCTTTGATCTCTTTGCCCCAACCAAAATCTTTTTATCCCTTTAGTTTACTTGCTAAATGCTCGTAGGCTTCATTTTTCTTGTGTAGGCTTAAGGCTTGTGCTTGTGAAAGAATTTTTAAACAAAAAACTTAAAAAATACAGAATATAATGGGCCTATTCAGTTTTCATAACAGGCTGGGCTCATATATATATTAAAACTATAATGGGCCTTTTCCGTTTACATATATGGGCCTAAATTTATTAAGAGCAACTTTATCCAAAGAAATATCCATTGGTCGGCAATGGCTACGTCACCACTTATCGCCACTTCACTACCGCAGACTCAGTTAGCTACCACCGCCACCGCCGGTAAATCCCGCCTTCCACCGCCAGAGAAACTTGCAGTTTTGATCGACAAATCGAAATCAGTTGATGAATTGCTCCAAATCCATGCAACTATTCTCCGTCATAGCCTCCTGCTCCATCCTCGTTACCCGGTTCTAAACCTCAAGCTCCACCGTGCATACGCTTCTCACGGTAAAATTCGCCACGCGTTGGATTTATTTCACCATACGATCGATCCAGACTTGTTCATCTTCACCGCGGCAATCAATACTGCCTCCATTAATGGCCTCCATGACGAAGCTTTCCTGCTTTATATTCAGTTGCTTTCTTCTGAAATTGTCCCCAATGAGTTTACTTTCTCGTCGATTTTGAAATCTTGCTCAACTGATTCCGTAAAAGCGATCCATAGCCATGTTCTTAAATTCGGATTGGGGCTTGATCCGTACGTGGCGACTGGTCTCGTCGACGTTTATGCAAAAGGAGGATATGTAATATCTGCTCAGAAAGTGTTCGATAGAATGTCTGAGAGAAGTCTTGTTTCTTCCACGGCTATGATCACTTGCTACGCAAAGCAGGGGAACGTTGATGCTGCGAGAGCATTGTTCGATAGAATGTGTGAGAGAGACATTGTTTCTTGGAACGTGATGATTGATGGATACGCTCAACATGGATTCCCCAGTGACGCTCTGATGCTTTTTCAGAAACTGTTGGCGGGAGGAACACCGAAACCTGATGAAATTACCGTTGTAGCTACTCTCTCCGCTTGTTCACAAATTGGAGCGCTTGAAACTGGGCGTTGGATCCATGTTTTTATCAAGAAGAATCGTATTAGGCTCAATGTTAAAGTTTGTACGGCTCTGATTGATATGTATAGCAAATGTGGGAGCTTGGAAGAGGCAAGTTTAGTGTTTAATGATACTCCGAGGAAGGATATCGTGGCGTGGAATGCGATGATTGCTGGTTACGCATTGCACGGCTATAGCCAAGACGCATTGAAATTGTTTGATGAGATGCAGGGTATTACAGGGTTGCAGCCAACTGATGTTACTTTCATTGGAACACTTCAGGCTTGTGCTCATGGTGGATTAGTAAACGAAGGGGTGAGAATCTTTGAGTCAATGGAACAAGAGTATGGGATTAAACCCAAGATCGAGCATTATGGATGCTTGGTTAGTCTACTTGGTCGTGTTGGTCAGCTAAACCGAGCTTACGAGATTGTTAAAAACATGAAAATTGAGGCTGATTCTGTCTTGTGGAGTTCTGTTCTCGGAAGCTGTAAACTTCATGGAGATTTTGTGATAGGCAAGGAAATTGCAGAGTATCTCATTGGACAAAGCATTAACAATTCAGGAATATATGTTCTTCTTTCAAACATATATGCATCAGCGGGAGATTATGAAGGTGTTGCAAAAGTGAGAAACTTAATGAAAGAGAAAGGGATCATGAAGGAGCCCGGTGTAAGCACAATAGAAATCGATAACAAAGTTCATGAATTCCGAGCCGGAGATAGAGAACACTTGGAAAGCAAGGAAATCTACACAATGCTAAGAAAGATGAGCGAGCGGATCAAGTCTCATGGTTACGTTCCAAATATAAACACGGTCTTGCAGGATCTTGGAGAAACAGAGAAAGAGCAATCTCTACAAGTTCATAGCGAGAGGCTCGCAATTGCTTATGGTCTAATCAGTACCAAACCGGGAAGTCCCTTAAAGATATTCAAGAACCTACGAGTGTGTTCAGATTGTCATACAGTAACGAAGCTGATATCGAAAATCACGGGACGGAAAATCATCATGAGAGATCGGAATAGGTTCCATCATTTCGTGGATGGTTCCTGTTCTTGTGGTGATTTCTGGTAAAGAGAACCAAACACTTACACATTATAGGGTTGTACATGATAAAAGGAGATCGTAGTGATCAAATTTGCTTGGAACAAGTTTTTATGGTCATTCCGTCAAACACTTGGAGGGCATTATTTGTGGTGTTGATAAGAGTAATCATTTTTCAAAATTTCTTGAAGGACAAGAGTTTTAGTTTTTATTTTATACGTTATTGTAATTATTTTTCTCTAGAACATTGGAAAAAAATCAACAGGTCAATGAGTCAAATTGAAATAGTCAATACTAAAATCAAAATTGGTTTTTGTTTGCTTTGATAATTTTGTCGATATATATATAACCCACAAAATTGCGTCACTAACCCAAAAATACACAAAAGATCTTAAAAATGGAAACCAAAGCTCTAATTTTCTCAATCCTCTTCATCCTCCTCACTCTCAAGTTCTTGATTGGAAAACTCAAGCGAAAGCCCAACCTTCCTCCGAGTCCGGCATGGTCGTTACCGGTGATAGGTCACCTCCGTCTCCTCAAACCACCGATTCATCGCACTTTCCTCTCACTCTCTCAATCCCTAAACAATGCTCCGATCTTCTCCCTCCGACTCGGAACCCGACTCGTTTTCGTGAACTCGTCACACTCGATCGCGGAAGAGTGCTTCACCAAGAACGACGTCGTACTCGCGAACAGGCCAAAATTCATCCTCGCTAAACACGTCGCGTACGATTACACAACCGTGATCGCAGCTTCTTACGGTGACCACTGGCGAAACCTCCGCCGTATCGGCTCCATCGAGATATTCTCCAATCACCGGCTTAACAGCTTTTTGCCTATTCGTAAAGACGAGATCCGGCGACTTGTGTTACGTCTCTCCAGGAACTTTTCACAAGTAAGTTACTTAACTCACGAATTTGGATTTTAACTAAACAAAATGATTCTTTCTAACTAATACTCTGTATTGTGGACTCTGTTTTGTGCCAATTATAATATTTGTAGGAGTTTGCAAAGGTGGAGATGAAATCAATGTTAGCTGACTTAACATTCAACAACATTATCAGAATGGTAGCTGGAAAACGTTACTACGGAGACGGTGTAGACGATGCTGAGGCTAAACGAGTACGGCAGCTTATTGCGGATGTAGTGGCATTTGCTGGGGCCGGAAACGCTGTTGATTATTTACCGGTTTTGCGGTTAGTTTCGGATTACGAGACGCGGGTTAAGAAGTTGGCGGGTAGGCTAGACGAGTTCTTGCAAGGATTGGTTGATGAGAAACGAGCAGCTAAGGAGAAGGGCAACACCATGGTCGATCACTTGCTTACCCTGCAAGAATCTCAACAGGACTACTTCACTGATCGTATCATCAAAGGAAACATGGTTGTAAGTAGCTGAAAACTCTGAACCTGTTTGTTTAGTTTGGTTACGATTTGGTATGGAACTTGTTGGTTTTTAGTTTTGTGTTATGTGTGCTATTTGTAGGCCTTGATACTGGCAGGGACCGACACATCAGCGGTTACGTTGGAATGGGCGTTGTCGAACCTGTTGAACCATCCGGAGGTATTAAACAAGGCGAGAGATGAAATCGACAGAAACGTTGGTTTAGACAGGCTTATGGACGAATCAGACATCTCAAATCTGCCTTATCTTCAAAACGTTGTGTCTGAAACGTTACGCCTTTACCCCGCGGTCCCGATGCTGCTTCCTCACGTTGCGTCAGAAGACTGTAAAGTTGGGGGATACGATATGCCACAGGGTACGATACTTTTGACCAATGCGTGGGCTATACACAGAGATCCTCAGCTATGGGATGATCCTACTAGCTTCAAACCAGAGAGGTTTGAGAAAGAAGGAGAGGCTCATAAGCTAATGGCGTTTGGGTTAGGAAGAAGGGCGTGTCCTGGTTCCGTACTGGCTCTTCGGCTGATAAACCTGACTCTTGGAACATTGATTCAGTGTTTGGAATGGGAGAGGATTGGAGAAGAAGAAGTGGATATGACTGAAAGCAAAGGAGGCACAATGCCTAAAGCCAAGCCTCTGGAAGCCATGTGCAGAGCACGTGCCTTTGTTGGTAAACTCCTACCCGAGTCCGCGTCAGTGTAAGAGACTCCTGTAATTAAAATGGAAACATGTCTAAGCAACGGTTATGTTTCTGTTATTATTCAGTACTATGTTATGTAAGAAATTAAACCCTTTTATATGCAAATTAGAGAGAGAAAAAACCATATAACACTCTCAACCTAAGTAACATCATCAAAAATATAAAACAGTTAGCGGATGTATACATGTGGACTTAAATAAAATAAAATAAAATTAGAATAATGAATGATTAGGTAATCAACATTACATGATTGATGGGCACATGTAATTTTGCCTACTTGGGGATGAAACAATTTAATCTAATGTCTGATAAGATTCCGTTTTCATAATTCATATTATGTTTTTCGAAGTCAACGTTTATCGACTAGTTCAAGCAGATTCTACATTGCAGCACATCATCCTCGGTTACAATCCTAAATCCTTGAGGAAGAAGAAATAGAATATGGAAGGTCAAACTCTAATTTTCACATTATTTTTCTTGATTCTATCTCTCAAAGTCGTCATCGGAAGAATCAAGCGAAAACCTAACCTTCCTCCGAGTCCGGCATGGGCGTTACCGGTGATCGGTCACCTCCGCCTTCTCAAGCCGCCGCTCCACCGAGTTTTTTTCTCCATCTCTCAATCCCTAGGCGATGCTCCGATCATCTCCCTCCGTCTCGGCAACCGACTCGTTTTCGTTGTCTCTTCACACTCGATCGCTGAGGAATGCTTCACGAAGAACGACGTCGTACTCGCGAATAGATTTAACTCCCTTGCTTCGAAACACATCTCATATGGTTGCACAACCGTGGTTACAGCTTCGTACAGCGACCACTGGAGAAATCTTCGCCGGATTGGTGCCGTCGAGATATTCTCGGCTCAACGGCTCAATAGCTTTTCCTCTATCCGAAGAGATGAGATCTGCCGGCTTATAGCTTGTCTCTCACGGAACACTTCACTCGTAAGTTAACTCTTTGATCCGTATAATAAGAGTTTATTATATATGATAATAATTCTCAACAAAACATACCAAATTTGATAATACTACTTTAGGAAATTTTAGTATCTCTGTTTATATGTGAATTTTCTCAATGGTTTAACATAGGGTATAATATAATCAACTTTACAGGAATTTGCCAAGGTTGAGATGAAATCAATGTTTTCTAACTTAACATTCAACAACATCATTAGAATGCTAGCCGGGAAATGTTACTACGGAGACGGTGCAGAGGATGATCCGGAGGCTAAACGTGTGCGAGAGCTAATAGCAGAGGGGATGAGTTGTTTTGGGGCTGGAAACACTGCTGATTATTTACCTGTTCTGAATTGGATCACAAATTCTGAGAATCGGATAAAGAATATCGCCGGTAGGCTTGATGAGTTCTTGCAAGGATTGGTCGATGAGAAACGAGAAAGAAAGGAGAAGAGGGAGAACACGATGGTTGATCACTTGCTTTGTTTGCAAGAAACCCAACCTGAGTACTACACGGACATTATCATCAAAGGAATCATGCTCGTAAGTAACATTTCAAGTTGATGAGTTGGTTTTGTTAACTGTCACATTTAGTATGGAAATAATTATTTCAGTTTTTTTCCGTGTATGTTTTCAATGTGTAGTCTCTTATACTGGCCGGGACTGATACATCGGCAGTAACATTGGAATGGACATTGTCAAGTCTGTTGAACCATCGAGAGATATTGAGCAAAGCAAGAGATGAAATCGACATTAAGGTTGGCTTCGACAGGCTTGTGGAGGAATCAGACTTACCAAATCTTCCTTATCTTCAGAACATTGTGTCTGAGTCGTTGCGCTTGTACACTGCAAGTCCCTTGTTGGTTCCTCACGTGGCATCAGAAGATTGTAAAGTAGGGGGTTACGATATGCCACACGGTACAATGCTATTGACTAATGCATGGGCTATACATAGGGATCCTGGGATATGGGATGATCCAACGAGCTTTAAACCAGAGAGGTTCGAGAGAGAAGGAGAGGCTCAGAAGCTTATGGGGTTTGGGCTAGGAAGAAGGGCGTGTCCTGGATCCGGTTTGGCTCAACGGCTAACGAGCTTAACTATAGGGTCTCTGATTCAATGTTTTGAGTGGGAAAGGATAGGAGAAGAAGAGGTTGATATGACTGAAGGTGGAGGAGGAGTCATAATGCCTAAAGCTATACCGTTGGTAGCCATGTGCAGAGCACGTGCCTTTGTTGGTAAACTCTTCGACGAGTCCGCCTGAGTTTTAGACTTTTGTACTGAATGCTAATTTATGTGTTTAAGCGACGGTTATGTCGGTGCGTTGATTGGAGTTATTGCTACTTTGGTAACCAAGGCGACGGTTTCTTTTGTTCCTACTGAAGTCAAAGTCTTCACCTCAAGTTAGGTCTCATAATGGTCTGCCCTTTTTTAGTGAAATAAGTATAACAATTAAAAAAGAAGACTCGAGTGAAAATCTACAATTTTAAAACCATTTATCGATTAGAAGAATCTAGAATTATATTTGGTAAACGAAGGATTCAAGGATTCATGACGATAAATTCCAGATAACATCCAATAATATCTTAGGACTAATACAATGGTTTCTTACTTTAAACAGAACACGAGAAAAAAAAACTCTTGAGTGAAAATGTAGAATTGTAAAACTACTTACCAATAAAGAAAAATCCAGAATTTCATCTGTTTTTAGCGAGACTTTTCTTTATTAAACCAGATTAGAGTTCACATTTCAAAGTTGAAAGGGTTTTTGTGTCGAACATCATTTTAAGTTTTCGTGTTTGACAAGTTGTGTTGCGGTTTTACTTAGGTTTTTGTCATTACTTTTGCGTGCCACATATGATCTAAATGTATTCAGATTATTATATGGATTTTTTCCTTATGTTGGTTTTAAATTTATCAGGATCTTTTAAGGTTTCACTCTTCACCTAAATTTGATATGAATAACTGTGTTTGCATGTCCTACATGTTCTTAACCCATACCGACACGTTCAATCTTTCTAGGTTATCATAATTTATTAATTTTTCCTTTTTTTTTGGTTGATATCAATCTCTAATTCTCTCTCTGTATATATATCCCTTTAACCATACACAAGATAGAAGCGAGAATAGAACGAGTCGAGCAAAATAATAATAACATGGAATTTACTCAAATTTCACTTGTCTCTTTTCTCTTCATCTTTATCACTGTCACAATCTTGCTCACAAGATCAAATAAGAAGCTTAAGCTTCCACCGTCTCCTGCGATACCTTTGCCTGTGATCGGGCACCTCCACCTCCTCAAGCCAAGGCTCCACCGGCTACTACTCTCTTTCTCTCAGTCCCTCGGAAATGCCCCTATCTTCCACCTCCGCCTCGGAAACCGCCTCGTTTCGTCGTTTCCTCACGTTCCATCGCTGAAGAATGCTTCACCAAAAATGACGTCGTTCTCGCAGACCGTCCCGTGTTCACCGTGAGTAAGCACATCGGCTATAACGCCACTCATATGGTAGCAGCACCCTACGGCGACCATTGGAAGAACCTCCGCAGAATCGCCGCCGTCGAGATATTTTCGTCTCAGAGACTCAATACGTTTCTGTATATTCGTAGGGACGAGATCCGACGGCTCATCTCACGTATCTCCCGAGACTCCTTACACGTACTATACGATCTCCTCAATTTTTTTATAATTTATTTTACTCGTACCATGCATTTCTTATTTGCATAATCTTCGTAACGTCTATTAATTTCCATCCATGCATGCAACTAGTTTTTTCCCCAACAAAAAAAAAAAACTTAAATGCTAAAAATATACTTATTATCGATATTTCATCAATTTCCGAAGTCAAAAGTAATCTTCGGTTTAAATGTTCTTCCAGAAATTTGCGGAGGTGGAAATGAAATCGTTATTAGGGAATTTATCATCCAACAATATAATCAGGATGGTGGCTGGAAAGCGTTACTATGACGATGGTACGGAGGACAACGACGAAGCCAAGCGTGTGAGACAACTTGTGTCAGGGTTGACCGGTGGTGCAAGTGCCGGGAATCCAGCCGACTATATTTCAATCGTACGATGGGTAACAAATTTCGAGAAAACTATCAAACATTTAGGGAAACGATTTGATGCGTTTTTACAGGGATTAGTTGACGAGAAACGTGCAGAGAAAGAGAGAGGTCATACTATGATCGATCACTTGCTTTCTCTCCAAGAAACTCAACCTGAGTACTATAATGATGTCACCATCAAAGGGATGATCCTCGTAAGTATCAATTGACAAATTAGTAAGCAGACTATGTTGTAATTATAGATATATATATATATACACGAAAGTTTATTAATAAGAAAAGCGTACAGTCTATGATAAGTGCAGGGACAGACACATCAGCAGCAACACTAGAATGGGCGATGTCAAGTTTGTTGAACCATCCAGAGATACTCATGAAAGTGAGAGCTGAAATCGATGACAAAATCGGATTAGATCGGTTAATAGAGGAGTCAGACATTGTGAATCTTCCTTACCTTCAAAACACAGTGTCGGAAACACTGCGTTTGTATCCTGCCGTCCCGTTACTACTCCCTCACATGTCATCGGATGATTGTAAAGTCGCGGGCTACGATATGCCACGTGGAACGATACTTTTGGCCAATGCATGGGCCATGCAAAGAGATCCGAAGTTATGGGAAGAACCTGAGAGGTTTAAGCCGGAGAGATTTGAAAAGGAAGGGGAAATTCATAAGCTGATGATGCCGTTTGGGATAGGGAGGCGAGCTTGCCCAGGAGCCGGGCTTGCTCAACGGTTGGTGGGACTCACTCTCGGAGCTTTGGTCCAGTGTTTCGAATGGGAAAGGGTTGGTGAGGAACTTGTGGACATGACCGAAGACGATGGAGTTACGTTGCCTAAAATGATGCCGTTACGAGCTATGTGCAGAGCCCGTAACATAGTCAGTAAAGTTATGTGAAATGTATTTTAATTAAGTGTTATGTAAAATCAGAATAATCTGTCAGTTGTATCTTTTATCAAGAAATGTATTTTAATTAATTAATCTTGTTTATTTTAAATAAATGGCTTTAAAATAGTTATAATCTGATAATTGGTTAACAACATTTAAACATACATCTATTGATATGATTGGGATCGTTATCTTATTTCGTTTATATAGTTAAAAAAAAAAAACGTCTCCCTAGCCTGAATCATAGACCTCGTTAAAGAGCATGTCCTGGAGTTGGACTTGCTCATCGTGTTGTGGGCTTGGCTCTTCGGTAGTTGGTCCAATGAACGAAGGTAAAGGAGTCACAATATCGAATGAAAGTTCCTGTCTATAATACAATAGAAGTCAATAACGCTAGTAACAAAATTTACCAGCCACTCTATACTACCCTTCAAATACCTATTTCGGTTGTCTTTGATTGTTCTCTTTACATTTTGTTGTCATTATGTTGAGCAATAAATACAATAAGTTCACGTTTGATAAGTTCTATATGCCGAGCAGGAAATTTACCTAATTTTTACCTAATTTTTTTTTTTAAAACTCAAAAAGTCCACTTTCAATAAGTTCTCAATCCAAGCATTTACGAAATTTAGTTTTCAGTCATTAACTATCTTGTTTTCAGACTACCTCCATTGGTGATTATTAGATATATATATCAATAAGTTCAACACCAATTCTCTTTCACTCGAAACATTGGACCAACTTTAAATATAGTATCTTTTAAGTTCTTTCTTTTAGATATTTTTATATTAAATTAATAGTAAAATTAGTTATAAAAAATGTTTAAAACATTTATATTAGGTATCACTATTTAATAGACGCTCTTCTAAGACCACAAAAAGAACTCATGTGGTCCATCTCACGGCCATACCCGATAAGACAACACAACTATACAAAAGAATAAGTAAAAGAAACAAAGAAGCAATCAACAAAGAAAATGGACATCAGCCAAATCCTACTTCTCTCGTTTCTTTTTCTCTCCATCTCTATCAAAATCTTGCTCACAAAATCAAACCGGAAACCTAATCTTCCACCTTCTCCAGCTTATCCTCTACCGTTTATTGGCCACCTCCACCTCCTCAAGCAACCGGTCCACCGAACATTCCTCTCCATCTCTCAGTCCCTTGGAAATGCTCCCATCTTCCACCTCCGCCTCGGAAACTGCCTCGTTTACGTCATCACCTCACAGTCTGTCGCCGAAGAATGCTTCACCAAAAACGACATCGTTCTTGCGAACCGTCCTGAACTCATCATGGGTAAACACGTTGGTTACAACTCCACCAATATGATATCATCTCCTTACGGCGACCACTGGAGGAATCTCCGCCGCATCGCCGCCGTCGAGATATTTTCTTCTCATAGGATCAGTACTTTTATGTCTATCCGTAAAGACGAGATCCGACGGCTCATTACACTTCTCTCTAGAGACTCCTTGCACGTAACGTCTATATTAAATATTTTATTTTCTTGTCATAAGTAAAGCAAATTATTTATCTACCCACACAATCATGCGGTTGAATTTGTCCATATGAGTAGGAATTTTCCATCCGTCCTTATTTATGATAGCATCCTATATCATAAATTTCATATATTTAATTATTTATCCGCTATGGACTGGACCGACATAAACTAGTCATTCATATAGATACGGAACCCTACATTACATACTGTATATATTTTTTGATATATATAACATAAATCTCAACTGTAATTATTTCAATAAATATAACTTTATTTTCCTAAAGAATAGAAAAATAATTCATATTACTGAATTAAATATATTTTTGATAAGTTATCGTGAATTTCACAGGGATTTGTTGAAGTGGAATTGAAATCACTATTCACCAACTTGGTATTCAACAACATCATCATGATGGTAGCCGGGAAGCGATATTATGGAGGCGGTACAGACGACAACGATGAAGCCAAGCACGTGAGGAAACTTATATCGGAGGTTGTGGCAGGCGCCGGTGCTGGGAACTTGGCTGATTATTTTCCCATCATAAACTGGGTCACGAATTTTGAACAGCGGGCCAAAATTTTGGGGGATCGACTCGATAAATTTCTGCAAAAACTGGTTGATGAGAAGCGTGCGGAGAAAGAAAAGGGTCAAACTTTGATCGATAGTTTGCTTTCTTTCCAAGAAACCCAACCTGATTATTACACTGATGTCACCATCAAAGGAATCATACTCGTAAGTTCAGTTTTAGTAATTGTTCTATATATATATATATGAAGAGAGTTTACTAATTCGAGATATGTACGAACAGGCTCTTGTAGTTGCAGGGACTGATACGTCATCCGTAACACTAGAATGGGCAATGTCAAATTTGTTGAACCATCCAGAGGTACTCGAGAAAGTGAGAGCGGAGATCGATGATAAAATCGGTTCGGGACGGTTAATGGAGGAATCAGATATTGTGAATCTTCCTTATCTGCAAAACACTGTGTCGGAAACATTTCGTTTACATCCTGCGGTTCCGCTACTACTCCCTCATTACTCATCGGATGAATGTAAAGTGGCGGGGTACGATATGCCACGTGGCACGATGCTATTAACAAACGCATGGGCTATGCATAGAGATCCAGGTTTATGGGAGGAGCCAGAAATGTTTAAGCCGGAGAGGTTCGAGAAAGAAGGAGAGGCCCAAAAGCTAATGCCATTTGGGATGGGACGACGAGCTTGTCCTGGAGCCGAGCTTGGGAAGCGGTTAGTTTGCCTTGCTCTTGGGAGTTTGATTCAGTGTTTCGAGTGGGAGAGAGTCGGTGAAGAACTCTTGGACATGACTGAAGCCAAAGGCATCACTATGCCTAAAGCTACTCCTCTACGAGCTATGTGCAAGACACGTGTCGTTGTCAGTAAAATTATATGACCCCGTAAAATGTAGTCTTTTACATGCGATAATGTTAAAGAAATAAATCATAAGCCTCTTAATAAACAAAAAAAAAATCAGTAGTATTCAGTATTTTGTAATATTTCATGGCGTATAAATCAGTAATATTCAAGAAAAGAAGAAAAAGAGTCGTATGGATTGCAATTTACTACTTCTTCTCACCATTCTTGTTACAATTCTCGTTAATTTCTACACAATCTCATTGCCAATATTGTTCTCCTAGGCGCTAAACCTATGGCTAATCGGTTTTGGTGATTTAGTGTTTTGAAAGGGACAACGGCTCAGGAGGCCCCGTTGATATGATTATGACTAAAGGTCCGGGACTTGGTATGCCTAAGGCTGAAACCATTGATCCTCACGTGCAGACACGTGAGATGAGATGGCTTCTGAATTGTTGTTCTTCGGATCGGAGCCATGAAATAAGAGTGTCTACATAACTTCGTATGTTCTAAGTAGATAGATCTGACTTTGGATTTTGGATTTTTTTGGGCCAACAACAGGCATGCATGGGACTCATGTGATTATTGTAATGTACTAATGTACTGGTGTCTAGTCATATGCATTGTTGGCTGAGTTTATCACTTAATGACATTTTAGCTTTACAAAAACAAAAAACAAAATAGAAAAAGAATTATAAGTAGTAGAAGAAAAATATATGATGTCTCAAATAATTTCCTTTGCTGCAATACAGTCCACAAAATCATTGGATATTTCAGAAGTTATAAAGTTGCTGTTCTTATCACAATAAATGTTACCGTTTCATATTGAAGACAAACAAACATATATTATTTATTAATAAATATTTTAATAACCATAATAATATCAAGAAACAGAACATCTGGAACAAGTGGATAACACAATTTTGAAAGATCTTCCCATTCAAGAACTCTCGCTCCGGTTAGGTTTAAACGAAGATTCGGACACAAGATCTTCCTCCGAGGCAGCAGGAATCCATTCGTTCGTCGCCGGATTGCTTCTGTAAACTGCTTTTTCTCCTCCGTCTCCTATTGCGGCGGCGGTGACGGCCTCGGTCTCTCCACCACCGTCTTCCTTCACCACATTGATAAACCCACTTCCAGTCTAATCTCAGAAACAGAACACACGATTAAAGATTTAGGTTTATTCTTATGAAAACTTTTTGAAAGAGAGAGATAGAGAGAGAGAGAGAATGAGAACCGTGTGATGTTGCTTATCAATGGCGGTAAGATTTGTGTAATACTCTGTTTCCAAGAACTCATCTACTGCAGATGAATCTCCCTCACCTAGAACCTGACCCTGTTTTATTTTGACAGCCAGGAAAAAAAAACTCAACATTTAACGACAACGTTAGTTTCTGTAAAGAGAAAAGAGTTGAGTTTTAGAAAAACCGAACATGAGTTTGTGACTGGAGAGATCGGAATTTGTCAGCTTCAGGATGGTCGGTGGTTTCGTCAGAAGTAGAGAAAGATCCAGGAGCTCCAGGTTCGCTCCGAGTGGGTTTAGTTGGTCGTTTGGGGGCTAAAGAATCGAAATCAGCTCTGATCTGGTTTGAGTTCTTGATCTGCTCTTCCAGATTGGTTACTTCGTCGCTCCGGCTTGGCTTCATAGTACTCATCGTCGCCTCTCTGTCCACTGCTTTACAACACCAAACATGCAAAAGAGATTGGATATTGCTCCGTTGCTTTTTATTTTTGGTTGTGTTAAAAGACAATGGGCCTTTAGTGGGCTTTTAGTTTTTTGTCGGCCTAAAACTTTTTATCAGATGAAAAAGCCCTTTAAAGATTAATAATATAATTGATAATTTACGTTATACAAGTAACAAATTTATCAGTTTTCCCACGAGAAAAAAACAATATCATATGTATAATACAGACGCGAAATCATATTACGTACATGCCAATATAAATATATAATTTTTTTTTCCTGTTTTTCATACACTTTGTGAAAAGTATTATATATCTTTCAAAAAAAAAAAAAGAATTTATGCAATATTATTTATCGTAGATAGATTCGATGAAGTGTATCTTATTAATTTAGTATTAACCGGACTTTATAAGATTCGATCATTCGAAAGGAGGATGGCAATATGGTAATTGTAGAATACAGTGTACATGAAGCTTGAAGCTTTCCATTTCCGGCTCCTATGGAAGGACAATAAATTATTGTTTTAAAATGTCCTTTTAATTCCCCAAAGGCCAACACTTGGAACCAAAAACACAAGAAAGAAAAAGAATTAAAAGGTACTCCAAGAAAACGTTTGCATCTCATCAAAAATCGAATCACAAAAGACAATTTGCGACCAACTATAATTCTAATTCCAACTACGTGGTAACACATTTTTTTTAATATATATATATCAAAAACTATGTCGTAGTAACACCTGGATTAATCAATGTCTTCCATATAAGATAACCATGTGCTTGTATCATTTGTGTTGCACCAGAATGGCCTGCAACGCTCTTGAATCCATATTATTGATTAATGGTGCCGAATAAACATGGTGTTGATCAGTTGATGGCTTGATGTAGAGATCTAAAAATTAATTTACTTTTAACTTTGATCTGAAAGAAATATCAATTTATTGGGGCGTATGCAATATATACAACAAGGGTGTTTATGAGAAGGAAACCAGAGTATTGTATGATCAAAGAATATCTTCCTTCTAAAACTTTACATTGATGTTGTAACGACTGAATAAATATAATAAACCTAATAATAAATGAAAATATATTTGTATAACCTGAGCTAAATAAATATTGAATTATCTGAATAATGTATCGCTTTGTGTTTAGTATTTTAGTGACCAGCACCTCTCCTGCTCGGTCCTGAAGCCATTGTATGCATCCTCTCTCCGGCCGAAGAGAGCCACCTTAGCTTTCTATAACCATGTATCACGACTCCTAAGAAGTCTTCGCTTCGCAAATCGACCCCATGATTTCTAGATTGAGCAATTTCCTCCGTGGAACCACCAAGGAGAACTCTGCAATCGGCGGTTCTTGATTCCGAAAAGGCTGAGACCAAGAACATGACCGTAAAGACCAATCCGAAGGGTCTCATTTTCTTTGGTGTGGTAGTAGTGAGCGGTTCTTGGGGTTTAGCTAGGGTTTAAGACAATGAATGGGTTTTGGTGATTGATAGAAAAGGAGTAACAAAGGAGGAAGTAAAGGTTTATATACAAGTGTCGAAAGATTCAAAGGTCGATGGAAAAAGAATGGAGAGGAAGGAAGATAGGAGTTTTCATGTGAAATTAAATAATATATTTTTTTTTTTTTGAAAAAATGGTTAGAGAATATAAAATGGAATAAGGTGTAGTATTAGACCCTCGATATAAGGGGATGGTGTAGGCGAATTAATTAAAAAGGACGGTCTCTAGCTTCCTTGGAAATGGACCTTTCAAAAAGTGTAAATTGTTTTTTTTGACCAGCTAATTTCCATTATTATTGTTTGTATATGTGTTTATAGCTCAAAAAACTATTATAGTTTGATTGAGAATACATCCTTTTGTTTTGTTTTGCTTAATATATGAATATGAAATTGGGGTATAGGATATTAAGTTATGGGATTAATTGTTTAGTGCTTAAGATACACAAGATTCCAAAAGCATCGATCTCCCGAATGACAATTCAAGTTGTAGTTGGTAATTAATAAATTATAACTTTTTGCTAGTGGAGTTAGGCAAGAAAAATAGATCAATATTTTGAGTTACATGGTTTCATGATCTAAAACATTTATACCGACAAGGAGGTTAGTGGTCACCATGTAAATTTAGCAATAGCCAGATGAGTATCGTGGTAAAGTGAACTAAGTGAAAGTATTAGACTACAACTATATTATTACAGTGGTTTTATACGTTAATTACTTGATTTAAAATCTACGGCCGTGGATCATCGACTCGGTTTTAAACTTTGGAAACAGGAAGAGTAGTGAGGAAGCTAGGGCACCAATGCGAGGATGTGACGTAGGGGGAAGCAAGAGAGCTAAAGTACATATTTTATCTCACACTTTCGCGAATAATATTGATCGGAATAAATTTGACCATACGAATCCTCGAGACTTGTTCTGCATAGAAGAACGTTTTCCTTCTACATAGATCAACATAACTTCTTTTTTTTTTTTTTACTTGTTTAGCTTTTGTAAGACAATATTAAAACAAAAATCAATAGAGCTTGTAGGGTTGATTCAATATTGATTATTGTGTCACCTAATGTTTGAAGCATAATTCACTAAAAACATGAATCATAAATCATAATTCAGGGAAAATATATGCATTGGGAAATATAGATGAAAACTCTAGAAAAAAAAAAACGAACAAAACATAATTGTCATGGTAGCTCGTGGGATTGAGAAAAAGAAGGGAGATAACATAGACAGACAAATTCGGTGGTACACACAAAAAATACTTGTATGGACGGACTCTAGCTAACTTTGGCTTCATAGTTGTCATGATAACAATGTAAGCATCTATCTTTCTTCCTCTCTTTTTGTTTTTTAAACGTCACTTCCCCCACATGTACCCTCCATTTTATTTCGTTATCAATCTTGCATCTTCGAATCTATTTTTCTTTTTTCTTCTTTTCTTTTATAATCGAGTTGTAGAGCTAAAATGCATCTTTATTTTAACTTCTTGTAGTCATTATGTGGATATCTTAGTGGTCAAAATATGAATATATTATGCATGGACGAACCATGTGAAACATATCATATTTTCTATATTATGATCTATCATTGTTCAGTCACAATTTGGTTCTTTTGAGATGTTTCATTGTTATAGTATACTTAACAATCGCTACAGTTTCAGTAAATATCCCGATTTTTATTTTTTTCATAATAAAATCTACTTAGGCATGCAAAGTATGTAATTTACAGTGTACATCACGGCGGTAGGATTCAGATAGACGCTTGGAATGGGTGATAATGTAGTTAATTAGACTAAACAAATATGATCTCTTATAAATTATGCATCAACACAAGAAACTCGTGTGTCGATACTATTCAGTAGTCAGTACTATATGCATATGAACCTTTTATTTTAAAACTTAGTTAATTATTAGATTTGCTATTTGGATGGATTTAAGTAAATCAAGATGCTAACTGAAGATTTGCTTTTTGTATGGACTTAAGTAAATCAAGATGCTACTTGAAATCCTTTTGTCAAAGATAATTGTTTATTGGACAGAATAGAAAAGACTGGAATCTAGATAATGAAAGTATTAAGGCAGAATTTGATTCCAATTTTAATGGACTACCATGTCCGAACTATATATAGTTAATCGAACTATATATAGTTAATATTTTTCTTCTTATTATATATTCTCGTGTGGTCTTACGCCACTAATAAACTATATTATTATTTTGGCCAAACAAAATTGATTAGTAATTTTTTTGTTAGTAATTCCAAGAAACGAAACAGTAGACCGGGTTTTAAGTAATTTGCTTGTAAGTTTATTTAATAATTTGAATGATATTGATTTCACCTTAGAGTTTCCTGATGCTCTGCAATATGGTTTCTTTGTCTTACTCTTAACTACGGAAATAAAGGAACAATTTTGTTATAAAAGGGAACAATTTGAGATTATAAAACACTTTGTTTTGTTTCGATGAAAACCATTTATCCTCACTACCAAAAAAAAATTAAAACAATTTATCCCTATGAAAAAAAAGTTTTAGCTGCCATTAATAGTTTTACTCTCAAACTATTTCATTTTCATTTAAAAGAAACAAAATACATTACAACTCTGTTTGTAAAATCATTTATGAAACATAAGACCGGAACACAACTCAACACCATATAGCAGCAAGAGTTGACAGAAAGACCAATGGTTTTGTCTTTTCCATACGAATATGATAGATCTCTTACCTAACAAAGATCAAAATTTGGATGCTGAATTTGTAGTTAAAAATCGTGTGGGTTGTTCAATGTTTTTGAAATACTAACCAACCACGTGAGAAGAACTATCTTTGGTCGTGCAAGAAAAATATAACGCTAAAGTGTTTTGAACTTTTGAAGCATTAATCATTACTTATTAGGTTGGTGTATCTATCAAAAATATTATAAATAAAAAAACATCATTTAAACTACTGAGATCTACTGAAACCAAAAACTAACTAAACCGCCTACCAATATGTGTGACTTTGCCGAGTTTGGAATTCAAACTTTAGTTTTGGTCTACAACTACAAATAAACTTTTAAGTTTTAGCTGCCGTCTGCTCCAAACAATCAAACTTTATATAGTTAGTCTACACTGTTAAGTTTACGATAAAACTAAAACTCTTTTACTTGTAAAATCCAGTTTCTTATCCTTTCCTCATTGATGGCTTTACACTATTATCTGTTCAATAAACTGAACGCTGAAGAGATAAGTTGGTATCTTCCTAGGAAGCAGCAGCATACGCAAGTTTTCAATGATCACATTCTTTTAAATTCAAACTTAGTCAAGAAAAAAAATTCAAACTTTGCATCTCCTCAAACAACTACTATATAATCAAATACCAATTCCACACAAAACACTCACAACAAGTTTCATTGTCTTCTCAAGAGTTAAAAAAAAAACATTCTTTTACATAGACAATTAGACAGGGAGAGTTAAGTTGTTTTCAAATATGATGATGATGAACAAAGCCGTTCTGAGTTCAATTCTGGTTTTCATGTTGATCGGTTCGGTTCTTGTCGAGAGTCGTCCACTTGGTTTAACAAAGATCGAGGAGAAGAAGCTCGTGGCTGGTTTCTTCGATGCCCTATCACTTGGTTCAATCAAAGACTCAGGTCCGAGTCCTGGCGAGGGTCATAAGTTCGTGGACCGGAGGGATACGTTTCGTTTTGACAAGCATTCCGGTCCAAGCCCAAGCGGACCGGGTCACTAAATGTTTCAACTTTCAATCTTTAGTTCAAACCGGGACGGTTAATAAACCTTTCGGTCGAACAAATTATTTCATTTTTTGGTTTCGGTTTTATTAGTCGAATAATACACTGATACATAGGAAAGAATGGGAAAACCATGTTTTAAAAAAAATTTAGGATTTACGTAGTTTTTGTTAATTACGTTAAAGTTGTTTGAATATATATACATTGTAATGAATAAAGTTATTTTACTACTATTTGAAAATGTACAAAGTGTATACTCTAGTTCTCTAGTAGTCAAAGAACGAGTTCAACTGCTCAGCCAGACAGCCACCGATAAAGCATAAATTAAAAAGGACAATGCTTTAAATGGGTGATGAGTTTATTAAGGAAAAAGTTAAAGAGAAGTAATAGAACTATTGTAAAAGTTTAAGGGTTCAATTGAAAAACATATTTATTACAACATTAGTCTTTACTTTATTCAAATTACAATATTACCTGTTTTCCTTGCGAATTCGGTAGTTTATTTTCTTTTTTGGTATAAAATAAAAAAAAACACGGTTAGAGCCTAAGAGGAGCCTACAGGCACCTTTACAATTCGGCAGTTTTGAGTCGTAGATTAGATTCATATTTAAACTCGGTTAGAGAGGCACCTTTTGATGTGAAGATCTTTTGCCTCTCGCTCACTGTTGCAATGGGAAGCTCGTCGAAGGAAGTGACGGCGAGTGACGGAGATACGGCGAGCGGTGGCGCCTCACCGTCCAACGACGGCAGACTCTTCACGGAAGGCGAGCGTGTTCTCGCCTACCATGGTCCTCGCGTCTACGGAGCTAAGGCAAAAACGATAAAAACTCACTCTCTCTCTCTCTGTCTCTAATCTTTCTCTGAGCAACTTCGGGTGTTTGCATTATTTGAATTCTGGAGATTTATCTTGTTCGCGTGGATTGTGCAATTCTTGAATTTCACGTTGTATTGGAATTTAATGCTCTGATCTATCGGAATTGGAATTGGGATTCTCTGCTAGATTTGGTTGGATTAGGTTTTTTTCGTGGTAGATTTGTTTATGAAGTTAAGTAGATCCCAAACTTGAACCAATTGCGCTTGAATTTAAATGTTTCGTCCGTGTTTGGCGTAATGGTTTCATGGAAGAAGATTGGAATTGAAATTTACTGAAATGCTTAGTCGCAATAAATGCACAATGATAATTTACTTTCGTTAGAACATTGAATACAGGAAATCACCTGGACATTTTGGGAGATAGGGCAAGCTAATTTGCGTAATTAAGATTTCAATCATGTAACACTGGATTGAATTTCATTTATATGCAAATGTGTGTCCTTGTTGTTATGCTACATCTTCAAAGTTTTTTTCTCTATATTATTGCATAGTGTTTCAGTATGGCCAGACCTGAGATATTATTGTTCACATTCTTTTACAGGTTCAAAAAGTCGAGCTCCGCAAAAAGGAGTGGAAGTACTTCGTTCATTATCTTGTGAGGCCTCCTTCTTCTGAGCTATTATAGTTTCATTTGCTTTACTGCATGATTCAGTTCTAGCTGTTATCAGTTTGCTCAGAGTTTTGGTTTGCAGTAATAAGTGATATAGCGATCTGTGTCTGCAGGGTTGGAACAAAAAGTGAGTATCTCTATGCTATCATGTCTATTCTGGCTTATGTATCAAAATCAGTAGATTGGGACCCATGACATGAATGTCTTGCCAACAGTTGGGATGAATGGGTTAGTGCGGATAGATTGTTGAAACATACTGAGGAGAATCTTGTAAAGCAGAAAGCTCTAGACAAAAAGCAAGGAGTAGAAAAGGGTACCAAGTCTGGGCGTTCAGCTCAGACAAAAACTAGAAGCTCTGCGGGTAAGTCTAAACTATTCACTTTCTACCTAAACATACGGTAGATTATGCAAGAAACTAACTTCTCTGTCAAACATGTTTTTCTGATTTTGCAGACACAAAGGCTGAAAAAGATGATACAAAGACCAATGGTAAGCAAGATATTAATTTTCCCCTCCCTTTGTATTTCAAGGTTCTGCCAACAATTTCCAAGGAAATGGTTTGATATCTGTAAATTTTTGGGGAAAAAGTTAGATTGTATGCAACTTATATTGGTATATAGATAATTATGTTTTATGTTGCAGCTGCAAGAGGAAAGAAGCGAAAGAACGAGTCAGGCAATGAGGTCAGGCTCGTAAAAACTTAGAGATATGCTTGACTTTTGTACTTATCTCTAGTATTTGTGTTCCAGCTCCTCATTGATAAAATTACCAAATGCTTGTGCATACTTGTTAGATTTGTTTCGCATACATACACATATACAAACATGGTAATTTTTTCAGGTCTTCTAAAATCGATAAGGTTGTTATTGTATGATTTTGTTCTATAGAAGGAAAATGTATCGTCAGAGAAGCTAATGAAGATCCAAATTCCCGCAACACTTAAAAAGCAGCTCACTGACGACTGGGAGAATATTGCGCAGAAGGACAAGGTATTATCAATTAACTCTACTTTGTGCAAATACTTTTGGCAATATTATGATTGTTATTGAATTAGCTATACTTGAGAATGAAGAGGCATAAATGTGTATATTGGTAACATAGTTGTGATAATTATATAGGTTGTGAAACTTCCGCGCTCACCTAATGTCGATGAGATATTGTCAAAGTATCTTGAATTCAAAACCAAGAAGGATGGAATGTGAGTCCTCAAATAGTTAGCACAGTTTGATATATGCTAATATACCTTCAGAATGCCAATGAATCAAATTTGTGTGTTCTTGTTTTTGTGCAGGATAACTGATTCAGTGGCTGAAATTTTGAAAGGCATAAGGAGTTATTTCGACAAGGCATTACCAGTGTTGCTCTTGTATAAAAAAGAGCGGCGACAGTACCAAGAAGTAATTGTGGATGATATTTCACCTTCAACTGTTTACGGCGCTGAGCATTTGCTTCGTCTTTTTGGTAATATCTCAGTAAGTTCTAATTCGCACAGTATAATTTGATGTTCTTCTGAATCTTTACTATTGCTATTTAAAAAAAAAATCCACAGTGAAGTTGCCGGATCTTCTTTCATATGTAAACATGGAAGAAGAAACATGGAGTCGCATGCAGCAAACATTATCAGACTTCCTCAAGTAATCCATTTAATCTCTCTTCACCACCATTTCAATTTCTCTCTGGTTTCCAACGACGGTTTTATTCAAAATTATTCCCAAATTATGTTTTATAGGTTCATTCAGAAGAATCAGAGTACTTTCTTGCTATCATCCGCATATGATACTGATAAGGTTTCAGATGGGAAAGGCAAAGGCAAAGAGGACTGACAGCTCCATAGAATTTGTTGGTATAATCGCCATGGAGTTGTTGTTGTTGTAATTGTAGAATCCCTTTTCATTTTTTCTGATAAATTCATAATTGTAAGTTCACAATGATAAATTCATCATTGCTCGGAGATTTGTAGCTGAATATGAACATTTTATAGGCCTTTCAACTTTCAAGTTTAACAATCTGGTGTATGTTTATGTACTTTTATCCTGGTATCCAATAAAAATAACCTTTTTAATGCTTTAAATTAAATATAAAAAATAAAAGCCTATGAGATGAGATTATATGTGGCTAATGTTATCGGAATAATGTATATTGGTTCGCTGTCACTGTTTATGCTTCTTTCATCTTTTTCACCAAGACGACTCTAATTTGGAGCTCGCGAGATCAGAACTAATGGTGGCATGAAAAAAGACGCTTAAGCTAAAAATTTCGTCGACTATGGAACCTGCTGCTCTTACTCGTTCTTCCTCCCTTACTAGATTCCCTTATCGTTGCGGTATAGCTACTCTCCGACTCGCTCGAGTCAACTCGTTCTCAATTCTTCCACCTAAGACTCTTCTCCGTCGAGAACCTCTCCCTCTTCGTATCTCTGCCTCCCTTAGTCTTCCACCTCGGTCGATTCGTCTACGTGCTGTCGAAGACCACCATCACGATCATCATCATGATGACGAGCAAGATCATCACCATCACCACCATCACCATCACCAACACGGATGCTGTTCTGTGGAATTGAAAGCGGAGAGCAAACCTCAGAAGGTGTTGTTCGGATTCGCTAAAGCAATCGGGTGGGTTCGATTGGCCAATTTCCTCAGGGAGCATCTTCATCTCTGTTGCTCTTCCGCCGCAATGTTCCTTGCTGCCGCCGCGTGCCCTTACCTTGTTCCTAAACCTTACATTAAGTCTCTTCAGAACGCATTCATGATTGTTGGTTTCCCTCTTGTTGGAGTAAGAGTTCTATTCTATAGCCTCTCTCTCTCTCTCTCTCTATGAAGCTCGTTGTTAGATTTTTAGCTTAGCCAGACGATTTAAGCAATTTGGTTCCATTGTTTGTTAGGTTTCAGCATCTCTGGACGCACTTATGGATATAGCAGGAGGAAAAGTGAACATCCATGTCTTGATGGCACTTGCGGCTTTTGCATCTGTGTTTATGGGGAATGCTTTGGAAGGAGGATTGCTTCTAGCCATGTTTAATCTTGCTCACATTGGTCAGAACTTGAATTTTTTTTGGATTAGGATTTGTAATTTTCAATGTTATTATGACGCCAGAGATTTAAGCCTTTGTCTTGTTGCTCTTCTTCAGCCGAGGAGTTCTTCACAAGTCGGTCAATGGTGGATGTTAAAGAGTTGAAGGAGAGTAATCCGGATTCTGCACTGCTGATTGAAGTGATAAATGGCAATGTTCCAAATATTTCTGATTTGTCCTACAAAAGCGTTCCTGTGCACAGTGTAGAAGTTGGATCTTATATTTTGGTTGGAACTGGTGAGGTCTGTGAAACTTTTTCATTACTTGAATTTTTAAATATGTGACCATTTTTATCATTACTATAGGTTTAGTGGTGTTACAACCGCAGCTGTTAAGTAACATAATTTTTTTTTTGTTTAGATTGTGCCTGTAGATTGTGAAGTCTACCAAGGCAGTGCTACCATAACAATTGAGCACTTGACTGGGGAAGTGAAGCCGTTGGAGGCAAAAGCTGGAGATAGAGTGCCTGGTGGTGCCAGAAATTTGGATGGCAGAATGATTGTGAAGGTATTTTTAATCATATTGTCGTTGCTTTGGCTTGCCTCTTATTTGGAATCCTCAAGCTTATCTTATTCCATCGGATTTCTGAATCAGGCTACAAAAGCATGGAATGATTCGACGCTTAACAAGATCGTACAGCTGACCGAGGAAGCACATTCTAATAAACCCAAACTTCAGAGATGGCTGGATGAGTTTGGCGAGAATTATAGCAAAGTGGTGGTTGTTTTGTCACTTGCTATTGCCTTCCTAGGTCCATTTTTGTTCAAGTGGCCTTTTCTCAGCACTGCAGGTAGATATCAGGATCAAGTTCTCCCTTTTTAACATAACCAATCATTTGGTGAATCACAGACTGTGAATCTTCGTTGATGTAACAAACTATTCTTGTTATTTAATTAGATTATCATGATTTGGCAATTGAAAAGAGTGATTTTTGCCTTCCTTTCTTGGGATGAAAATTTAATTGGCTTACTTTCATTGCTGGTTAATGATACAGTGTGCAGAGGATCTGTTTACAGAGCACTGGGACTTATGGTAGCCGCATCTCCATGTGCTCTGGCCGTAGCTCCATTGGCTTATGCTACGGCTATTAGTTCCTGTGCAAGAAAGGTACTGTTCAAGTACTCTATGTGATCACTGCTTAGTTACTGAAATTACCATATGTATGTTAGCTTTCTTGGGTTGTGCAGAATTGCACTTTTGAGCATTGGTTTGTATATGCTCTCTTGTTTTAAGCTAAGCTAAAGATTTATATGTGATCATACGATGGTGAGGATTGAATAGTGCATAGGCAATAACATTGTCTCTACTATATTTCCTTTAACTCTGTTTGATATCAATAGTACTAAGTTCCTTCTGTCCAAATCCAAGTAAAAAAGTTTATTTTCATTTTTGACTTGTCAATAATGCCAATAATGCATCTCTACTTGTAAGTGTGTAACCCTCTACTGTGTGCAACTTTTACAGGGAATATTGCTTAAAGGTGCACAGGTTTTAGATGCTCTCGCTTCTTGTCACACTGTTGCTTTTGACAAAACCGGGACCTTAACAACCGGCGGCCTTACTTGCAAAGCAATTGAACCCATATATGGACACCAAGGAAGAAATAATTCAAGTGTAACAACTTGCTGTGTTCCAACTTGTGAAAAAGAAGCTCTTGCAGTGGCGGCTGCCATGGAAAAAGGCACCACGCATCCTATTGGAAGGTATTTCTTGTTAAGCACCAAGTGCTAGTATACAACTTAATTATCCCAAACTCTAGAATTATGGAAGTTTTACCTATGTGCCTCCTATCATTCACATTGCAAATTGTCAAGGGTAGGATGGATAATAGTTATAACTGGTACATGTCTATTTCTCATGGTAAATCATTTATCTTGTTGGATGGTAAATTCATTTCGGGTAATATGTTGATGTAAAAACAAATAAGTCCTACATCTAGAATTTTTTTCTTGTTTCTATTCCATCACCACAAACAGATGAAAGGAAGGGGCATAAAGCAACTTTTAACGATATGAAGCTCTCTATCTCGGTTATTATACTGGTTTATTCGTTTAAATTATGCTTGGTCTGGTATGAGTCTGTAGCTATTTCTGATGTTTCTGACACGTTTGATCTTGCTGCAGAGCTGTGGTAAACCACAGTGTGGGTCAGGACCTTCCTTCTGTTTTAGTTGAGAGCTTCGAATATTTTCCTGGTAGAGGCCTTACTGCTACTGTAAACGGTGTTAAGGTGCGACACAGTTATTTACTAATTTTTATAGTCTGTGTGATATGTATACATTTCTGGCTTTTTTTCTTTCAAGTATCTGATGTTTTGTCTCTCACTGCATTTTTGACTTCTAATAGTCACTAGCTGAAGAGAGTAGATTACGAACAGCATCACTTGGTTCTATAGAGTTCATTACCTCGCTTTTTAAATCTGAAGATGAGTCTAAACAGATCAAGGATGCGGTAAATGCCTCTTTGTATGGAAAAGACTTTGTTCATGCCGCTCTTTCTGTTGATCAAAAGGTATGCTACAACTAAAATTTTTGTTGGTCCCAAAAACTTTTTCCTTCATCAGTCAGCAATTTCAAATTTGTCCATAGAAACTCTGTATCACTGAAATTTATGAGCCTTGCAACTAAATTTTTCCAGGTAACATTGATTCACCTCGAAGATCAGCCTCGTCCAGGGGTGTCAGGAGTTATAGCAGAACTTAAAAGCTGGGCCAGACTCCGAGTAATGATGTTAACTGGGGACCATGATTCAAGTGCTTGGAGAGTTGCAAATGCAGTGGGTATTACCGAAGTCTACTGCAACCTAAAGCCAGAGGATAAGCTAAATCACGTTAAGAATATCGCTCGGGAAGCAGGTAACCATCACTCTCGCGATAGTCACCAATCGAAAACATGTATCAATAAGCTGAGAATTTACAGTTTGGTGATTTTTGTTAGGTGGAGGTTTAATTATGGTAGGAGAAGGGATTAATGATGCTCCAGCTCTGGCAGCTGCAACCGTGGGAATTGTTCTTGCTCAACGTGCAAGTGCCACTGCGATTGCTGTTGCCGACATCTTACTTCTTCGGGACAACATCACCGGTGTTCCGTTTTGTGTTGCTAAATCCCGCCAGACAACATCATTGGTAGATGAGAGAAAAAAGTCCTTGTTCTTAACTTCTTTCAGATGTAATTATTTCAGATTTATTTAAGTGTTTATCATTTTGCAGGTGAAGCAAAACGTAGCTCTTGCATTGACATCAATATTTTTAGCCGCTCTTCCCTCAGTTTTAGGGTTTGTTCCATTGTGGTTGACGGTACACAAGCTAATACCCTCTAAAAGCTTTGTTTTCCATCATTTACCCGAAAACAAACCCCCTAATCCACATGTTTTCCGGGATTTTGATCGTAGGTACTTCTACATGAAGGTGGGACTCTTTTGGTGTGCCTAAACTCAGTACGAGGTCTGAACGATCCATCATGGTCGTGGAAACAAGACATATCTCATCTAATCAAGAAACTAAGCTCACGAGATCTCATCAGTAGTAGCAGCAACAGTTTAAGCTCTGCAGAGCCTTCACATTAGTGGTAACTTGTTGTTCTTTGTCTAATTATGCTGAAGCAAGAAACTGTACTGTATAATCGCTTATGAATAAACATCATCAGTCGTATATATATATATGTTTCGTTTCGACAGGTTTCTTCAGGTGATTTTATGTCACGTGATTATATTTACTACTTTTGGTTTGTGTTTGTTTCCTCGTAACAAACCCATAGAAAAGAAATAAGTTTGACAAGTATTTTGACTTTTTTTGGGTTTAAGAACACTGCATATTGTTTAGTTGTTAATGATCTTTGGTGCTGTGCTTTAGTTGAATCACGAAAGACCATATGATTGTGATTACAAAAGATTTGTTTGACTCGCTCGTCTCTACTACTGGTTGGCTCTCTATACATTGAAAAGCCTGAAACTTTTAATTTTCCCGAGAAACAGAGGGAAAATTTGTTCTTATCCCTCACTACTCCATCTTCCCAATCCCGATTTGGTTCACTATAAACTCCCTAAACCCGACACGACGGCTGTTTACACTTTGCGGCATACACGAACCACCACCACTTCCTCCGCCGGAAGCGCCGACGTTCCCTCGCTGTAAATCCGCCATGTAACTCCTCACCTCCGTCCTAATCATCTCCTGAACCACCGTCAAGAATTCGCCACCGAATCCACCAGATATCCCTTTCGCCTCGTCTTCTACTTCTACTTCCTCTTCCTTCCTAACCGGAAACAGCTCCGCCGTGTAACCACCGTCCATAACCGTATCCTGGTTTGGTTGCGGTGCCTCGTTGACCCGAGCCGTCTCGGTCCAAGGGAGAGACAAACTAAGATAAGTCGGAGGATCTTCAGCAGACGATGACGCCGTCACATCAGATCTAACCGTCGGTTTAAACACGTGTTGTTGGCCTTGGCCACTAGATTGCTCGCTGACGTCAGATCCGGATGGACTCCCGGGACTCATATACAACCCAGTGGACACACCACCACCGCTCGCCGTACGTTTCAACGGTTGCTCCTCTCCTAGATTACCATCATACCCTCCATTCCCACCAAAATCACAACTTTGCCCTTCAACGCTGCATTTTCGCTTCAGCGTCGAGTTCCAATGATTCTTGATTGCGTTGTCGGTTCGTCCGTTGAGGAGACGAGAGATGGTAGCCCACTTGTTGCCGAACCGAGCGTGAGCTCGAATAATCGTCTCGTCCTCTTCCTGAGAGAAAGCACGGTGCTCGACCTCCGGAGAAAGCTGGTTACACCACCGGAGACGACAAGATTTGCCGGAACGTCCAGGGATAGATTTGCTAATCAAAGACCAGTTTCGTGGACCATGTTTTTGAACCAGCCTCTGCAACAGATCGTCTTCTTCTGGACTCCACGGACCTTTAATCCTCTCCATATTCTTTCGGGTCGTCGGGTTTGACATCGCCGGATCTTTTTATCGGATTCTTCTTCTGTGTGTATATATTTTTTTTCTTTCTCACGCGTCCTCTGTTTTTTTTTTCTTTGGTCGTTAGAAGTTTTTTCTTTTTTTTTTTTTCTTTTTGATGTGTTGAGAAGAAAAGGTTTTTAGAGGAGAAGAGCAAGAAGAGAGAGTATTTATACGACAAGGGAGTGGGCAAAAAGGGTCACCGGTTCAACCGGTAAATCTTTCTTATCGATTTTAACAGAAACCATAATATTTTAAGTTATTAGTTACAAAAAAAAACTCTGCACTATGTAATTATTATTTTTTAACTGCATAAAATATCTAAACGAATTCTATTTGTTAGGAAAGCAAAAAAAAAAAAAAACCGTTTTGTCTATTAATAAAGACATTTGATCAGTGAATTAAACGGATAACTATGGTCGTTACTCATTAAACGATTTTGACTAATTCAGTCAAAAAAATATTGTTAGATTAATTATTAAAACGTTGAATAAGTAAATTATTTTTAGGCAGTTATCTTTATATATATGATATATCCCATAGTTACTTGTTTTCATAAATCAAATATTCCAAAAAAAGAAAAATTATATATAGAAATAGATGACAATTTTTATAAGAAATTGGTCTTAGCGGTGTACAAAGTGAAATATAGCGTTTTGTACGTATCATTTTATAAACAACACAGATATTTTTATTTTGGAAAAAGAAAAGAAAACACGACTGCGATTAGAAAGAGCGTTTGCGGGATAAGCGTTTATGTGAGGTTAAACATCGAGCGTGCAGAGCAGAGAATCTTCCAGGAAAAACGGTTGGGGACTTGGGATACAGCTGTATACTGACACGTGTCACTTATATATGTACTTTGAGTTTGAGATTTGCTTTTTTTTTTTTTTTTTCTTTCCAGTATCATTATTTATGTGTTAAAAAAACAATATTATTATATACTAATTAATGTTCTCATTTTTAATTTATTCTACCAAAAAAAATGTTCTCATTTTTAATTTCAGAGATTTGTTTGTTTTTATAGAGAGAGGGTACGCTGGTGGTACAGCAGAGGGAGCGTTCGTTCCACTGTATGGTAAACAGGTGGAGCGTTTTTAACCCAATCATTTCGTTTTCCTTCTTTAAAAGCAAAATCAGTGACACTCACAAAAAGTCTTGTTAACTTCTACGTTTTTTTCTCCTTTTTTTCTATAATCATTCCCTTTTTTTTTAATACAGTTTCTTACCTTTTATGAAAGTTTACAACTTCATTACGTTTTGTGACAACTTTGATTCGGTTAAAATTCTATAGAAAAATAAATGAATTCAAGAATGGCATTTGTATCCTAAATAATGCTTGTATATCAAATTCCAAATTCGGATTCAAAATTTGTGTACATGTTAAAAATAATATGTTGCAAACACATACATATTGTTTTTTTTGTTTTTTAAGAAAAAAGAAAAAAAAAAAAAAAAACAGTAAGTGCAGAGCAAAAAAAAAGGAGACTACATTAGAAGTCAATAAAAAATAGCCGAAAGGTATTAGTTTTATGGACAGAGCAAAGTCTATATTTGATATTTGTTTCCAATATATTTTGCATACACAATGTTTGTTACATGTCATTGTCTCTGTGTGTTGATTTGTGTGGGTTACAACGATGGTCCAAATTTCCAAAATTTTGCATAAGATGTAAATTGTGTCGGTGAAAATAATAATGTAGACGTTATAGTCGTAGACAGCAAGGTCTCTCTAGGTTTTGTAGTAGCTTACATGCAACGAGTGAATGTGATAGTTTTATACAATGGTTTTTTAACACACAAATACTTTTATAAATAAAAAAAATTATATCATTTGAAGTTGAAATATGAATGTGGTGAGTAACACAAGAGGACATTGTTTCTAAGTATTTATAGTTATAGGTATAAAGATGGGTGTGAATAGTTTCATTACACCAAACCAAAGATATTTTACAAAAACAAAAAAACCTGTTGAGCGTGTGGGATGGTACTATAATACATACAGTCAAGCAAACTTTTCGAGTATATGTTGTAACTTATTTTTTCTTTTTCCAAAAACACAAATTAAAAGTGTAATTTGGCAGAAAAGGAAAAAACCTAACAAACTGAAAAAAAAAAACAAATATCTAAAAATATTCAAAAATATCTAAATGACACTTTATGCAAATATCTAAATAAGATTCATATGCTATATAATCACCAATATAAAGAAATGAAAATAGCCTTCAAAGTTTTGTTTTCGAATACAAGTTGTAAACAACTCAACCCTATTCATGAAAAAAAAAAACACTAATTGAACATATATTAGTTATAAAACTCGTGGAGCTAAAAAAAAAAGACAAATAATTGAAGTCTACGGTAAGAAAAGAATGTGTAATAATACTATAAAACAACTAAAACGAAGACGAAAAAAAACAAGAGAGAAAAAGGAAAGGAGGATAAGGATGAAGTAGTAGTAGTAGTAAACAACAACAACGGTTAGGTATGAATTGTGTTTGTTTTGGTTCGATTCGAGAGAGAGAAAGAGAGAGAGAGAGAGGTGTGTGACTTTTTTGACTGAGGAAGCCAGCCTGTATGCCATTATTAGTACTTCTTCTTTTTCTTTTTTCTCAAAAAATCGTATATAATAAAATGAGTTTATTATTAGTTTTTTAGGATATTTTTGCCGATCTCCGAAGAAAAAAAAAAAAAAAAAGATAGGCCATAAAAGAGACAGTTGCTTACGTGGCGCAAAACGACAAAGATAGATCGGAAGGCTGATCGTTACCACTTTTTAAAAATAATATTTTATTATTTTTAATATTTTTTTTAAAAAAAAAGAGATAGAAAGAGAAAAAAGAAGGACAGGCTGTAAATCTCTGCCTCCCTTTAACGGCCACTCCCCCACCTGCCGGTCACCCACCCCTTCCCTCTCTCTCTCTCTCTCTCTCCTTTTATTTTGTTTTATTTTTCGTTTCATTACTATTAGTTACTTCACTAATTTTACATTCCAATTACTTTCTTTCTTTATTAAACTTGTGTTGGATGCTAAAAAAATATTTATGTTTTCAATAGTTACATGGTATATGTTAAATAACAAATTTTCATTTGGTTATTTTTTTCAGAAAATTTAGTGTAATTTTCATTTGGTTATTTTTTTCAGAAAATTAAATAATTAAATAATTATTAGTGTTTTGAATAAATTCACATAATAATGTCATATACTACTATTTTTGATGTTTTTGTATATACAGTATGAGAAAACTTAATTTAAGGGGGAGGGGTCGTCTTGAGTGTAATTAATCCTAGTCAACTATCCTTTCTTTATTTGAGATCGAAGAATTGTTTTCGAATTTAAGATGTTATTCCAATCAATGCAATTTGCCTTTATTTTATTTTTCTCCAAATGGATTATGTAAACCAACCAACGGTTCACAAAGTCACTTTTTTTTTTAATTTGTGGTCAATTTCATATGGCATTTAAAACAACCACTGTTGGAATAACCGTAACGATTAAATTTCATTTTAAGTTATAAAAAAAAAAAAAAGACTTTTATCCTATTTTGTATAACTCGGTTATATATAGACTGTGTTTATCTAATCTTATACATTTAGCTATTGATTTATATGCGGGCAAATAATAAATATGAATGTATGACTTTAGTTAGTCTTGAAATTGTTAAAGATTCATAATAAAGATAAGCTTTTAAACCATTTTCAACCGCAGAGAGAATAAACAAACAAATGGGATCTGTGTGGAGGTGTACGGCACCCCGGTTAACAACTAATCCAGCCGTGTACTGCAAAGCACGAGGCACATGCTCCAATCCTACTTACTATATAGGCAAAGGGAAGTTTCTTGCGACCTTCCCTACTACTCTTTTCCTTAGTCACTCTTTTTATTTTTATTTTTTTTTATAAGCATTTGATTAAAGAAGAAAGAAAAAGAGGATAAGATTCTGTCTGAAACTAATTGTTTAATTAGCAGTAGTGTGTGTATGAAAACTAATTATATTTAGCCGATCAATATAATTCATCGAGTGAAGGAGGAAGGGAGACATATGGACCAAAAGCTTTGTAATTAATGGAGATACGGTAAGAGATCTCTTCTGTTTTAGGTACATCGTACCTATTACCTAATTTATTCTCTCCAAGTAATACTAATAGTTATAGCTCCAAATTAACACTACTAATACTAAATTCAATCGTATGTTACCAATGGTAATGCTGTTGAGTTTAACCAAACCAATTCAATCTAAAGTTCCTTATTCATAAGAAACAGACCTTTTCTCGTGGGTTTTAATTAGTTGATAACTGAAAGCAATTCATGTTGATTTGAGATGTATCTGCATTACGTATGGTTATTATGGAAAACGCTCAAAGGTGATCATTGAGACATTAGTTTTGTGTTTTTGGCTCTCAAACGAAAGAGTTAATTCATTAGTGCGCTAATTAATCTATTCAAGTCACCGTAGCACGGCGTACAATATTATAAACTATATAGCTTGAAAGAGTTAAGAGGAGTAAGTACATAAAAAGAGTACAAAGTATATATAAGGTTACATCACAATTTGATCTTTAAATAATAGGAAGCACATTATTCATATCCAATCACTACTCTCTAAAGGAAATGATATTATACTGTGTATTTTTACAGCTAGGCTAATGTAAAAAATCACGAATAAGGGTAGTATTTACTCTACCATGGATATCATATAAATATACTGCTCCATTCCCACAAACGTAGTCTATAATTAATTTCTCGAAAAATAATGCATGTGAGTGATGATGATATGGATATGGTGCCATGGACTGGAATTTCCCAAAATAGCTTATAATCTTTCATAGTTATAACTTGGTTCTAGGTTCAGCGTATGTTTAGAGACCAATCATACGAATGTTCAATGCATATATATATAAGAGTTCCCATAATTAATATTCGAAAATCTAGTAATCCAAAAACCAGAGATTTGTTGCAACGATACTGTCTGGAATATCTTGTAACGAGGACCTAAACCAATACCGATACGATACACATCCACGAGTTCTTCCAAGACATGGAATATTATTTAGGTGGCCGTTTTATTTTTGTTTAAAAAAACTAAGATTCCTGTGAAAGATCAATCATTTAATAAAAAACGATTCTTTCACCGATTAATTTTATAAAATGTTGCCATCAAACGAG